TATCAACCGCACAATCAACAATGTTTTAAAACATGATTTAAAACAATTCAAAAATCATTAAAAATCATTAAAAAACGGTTTTTTGCTATCTCTATATCAGACACAATACTTAATAAATTAAATTGTGTCCAGCACAAATTTAATTAAAGTCCGAAAAGCCATTTTCCTTTGACAGCACTTATATAATTTCTACTTAAAGACCTTAAATACGTTTATTATTATCTTCTAATTTTTGAACACAATTATCCTCCATCTTCCAAATCATATCACAAAATGGGTCAATTACCCAAATACCAAATTATAATGAATAGTCTTGTAAGTGAAACAATATTAGTTGCGTTTGCCTATCAGAATCGTCATCAAACTATACATCGATCTTCTAGAATAAATAATCAAGGAATTTACATGGCCTGAAAATGAAAATAAGTGTACAGTACATTATTGGATAGTTAATATGACTATGTGAAGTTTTTTCTGTGATATTTTGCAAAACTGATTACATAATTTTATGTAAAAAATATCATAGCAAAAAAATTCACATGATCATATAAAATATCGAATAATTATAAATAAGTGTCAAAAATAAAAATAATTATATATTAGGATCTAAATTTTTACAATTGAGGGCAAAATAACTTTGCGTTGTAATAGTAGTTCTTTGAATATTATCACTGTATATATATGTTATCTAACAAACTCTTATGATCATAAATTTATTTTTGTCTGTTATTTTTTTCATGTGTTATGAAATATTTATATTTACTCCAATTAAAACTTAGCCGACCACTCCCTACCAACCATGATGTATAAGATATTGGTCATTCGATCAAAAAATAACAGGACATTTTTTTCATTAGAGTTCATGTCACCCCATGTGCTGCTACGCAGCACATGAGTGATATTAGCTTTGATGAAAAAAATTTCCTGTTATTTTCATATGACCAATATTGATGTTATTGTTTATATTATATTAGCATGTAAAATTTTTTGTCATGATATTTTGCATAAATGATAATGTCATTTTATGACAAAAATATCAAGGCAAAAAATTTTACATGATCACATGAACAATAATATAAATTATCGGATAACACCATTATTTGGCAAATTTTTGAATAATGGTAATTTGGCTCAACCGGGCAAATAATTGGCTGACACATGCCGCGAAGCGGCATGTGTTCATTTGCCCGGTTGAACCAAATTACCATTATTCAAAAATTTTTGCCAAATAATGTATACTTATGCGTTGTTTATTGATTCCTGTCATTCAAGGATTGATATGAAATCTTTGTGATTCTAAGAATAACGTATGTTATACTTTGAAGTTGGTATTGGTATAAATTTTACCCATATAAATATTAAAGCTTTTTTTTTTAAAAAAAAATATATTACATATTTAGAATGAAACATCATTGTTATTTATATAAATATTAAAGCATTCCTTTAAAAAAAATATATATCACTTTTAGAATGAATAACATCTTATTATAAAAATATTAATAATGACATATTAAATACATACTGGAATCTGTTCTAATATAATGCAATTATACAAAAAATTAAAGCAAATTATATTTTTTTTTGAAAAATAAAACATTTAACACAAATAACTATTATTGTTATATGAAAAATTAAAGCAAATTTTACAAATAATTATAAATAACTATTGTTATCTATTTTTACATTGGCTGTGCAAAACACAGCCACACCTCCTTGAACATCTTGAAATATTTTTTCAGCAAGTGCATGTTTTTGTTTCACAATTAGTTTTCGACAGTGACAGCTAATAATTTTTTTGGATTTAATTTTTTGCTCGAAAAAATTATGATTTGAATCATCACTAAAAAAATTTTATTAATATTAACTAAAAAATTAAATTTAATATCGATAGAAAAAATAAATTCATACTCTGATAAGTTATCTAAACTTTCATTAAATTCTTGATTAACTTGTCTTGAGCTTGAAGCTTGAGTTACGGGTATATAATTTCTTGAGCTTGAAGTTTGAGTTACGGGTGTATAATTTTGTTTGATACTTGCTTGTCGCAATAAAAGTGTTTTATATAATGGAACAAGATCAAGATCAGGATAGTCAGAAGTACCTAATGGTTCAAGTTCACTTGCGGAATACCAGTTGTCAAGTATTCCAAACTTGCAAGCAACTTGGTAAGAATCTTGATTAGGTTTTTTTTAAATAATTTTACAGGGTAATGATCTTCTATTTATTTTTGTTTTATCAATATTAAAAACACAAATTTTTACAAATTCACCAGGTTCATATACCTGATTTTGTTTGGTTCTATATTTTATTTCCATTGTATTTCTAATAATATCATGATTTTTTTAATATTTGAAATAGCAGCTTGACAAATTTTACTATGTTGTTTAAATGTAGGACGAGTTGAATTTGAAGTTGTTTGTTGTGATTCTGTAGTAGATTCATGTCATTTTTCTTTTTCTTGGGCTGTATGATGATAAGATTGATTTTCTGAATTATTACTAATTATAATAGTTTCCTGTAAATTTATTCTATTATTATGTGAATTTATCAACTTGTTATATAAATCATCATTCCAATTATCGTTATTATATAAATCATTATTCTAATTATCATTATTATATAAATCATCATTCCAATTATTATATGAATTATTAGATGAAATAGAATCTTCTAAATTAAGTCTAGATTCGAAGTTATCTGTAAAAGAATTATTTGAATTACGGTTACATAATAATGATTCAATTTGATTATATAACTTATCCTGATTATAATAATCATCTAAAATAGATAAATAATCATATGACTCATTATCATTGTTGGATTCCAAATTATCGATATTTGTTAAAATATCAGTATTATTTGATTCTTCCTGATTATTGTTGTTATTTATTAAAATATCGGCCAATCTAGTTTTACTATGAGATAATTGTCCAAATACTAGGTTGTATAGTGTAGTTTTATATGCAGAACAGTATTGATTATTCATTGCCCCTATAAAAATTAATAATAATAATTAAAAATTTATTAAAATAAATATATAATTATAATAAATTATAATAATAATAATAATAATAATAATAATAATAATAATAATAATAATAATAATAAATTAATTTATTATAATAAATTT